CAAGTTAAACAAATAGCTAAACAAGCTAAGCAAGATCTTAGACAATTAATCGATCAATCAAATGAAAATTTATTAAAAAGTTGTGAAAAACTTAAAGAAAATATTCGTTTATTAAAAGAATCAGAAGATTTATCAGAAATTCAATTAAATAAATTATCGAATGAATTAAATAATTTAAAAAAAGAAATAAATACATATCAATTAATAAAATCATCAAATCAAATTTTTTTAAAAATTGAAAAACAAGAAATAAATGAAGCTTCTCAATCAAAATTACCATCGAACGAAAATCTTTTACCTAATATGGAACAAAGTCATTCAAAAGGACAAGGTAACAAATAAAAAATATTCTAATAGTTTTATTTTAAATTCATATTTAAAAAAAAAGGCAAAGGTTCAATATCAATACGTGAAGTTGATCGATATGGACATTTTATTATAATTGAACATAATGGATTAACAACTGATAAAGAACAAGATATGGTTGGATGGATGTTTAAACGTTCAATTGATTCTTATACAGATATTGTTTATAGATTTCCAAATGATTTTAGTCTTAAATCAAAATCATTTGTTAAAATTCTTTCAAGACAAGCAAGTAAAGGACGTTATTCATACGAAAAAAATAATGTTTTAGTTGCTGAATATATATTAACATGGGGAACTGGAGTTAAAACAATTATTAATCGTCTTATTGATGCCAATGGAGATGAAAGAGACGTTCTTACACAAACATTTTAATCATTTTTATTCTAAATCTTCGAAATTTGTGTATTATTTAAAAAAAAAAAGAGATGTTTGAACAATTGTTAAGAAATATTTTTTCATTAATTCTATCTCAAATATTTCAATGTATAAAATAAAATATATCTCAAATTCTACTATTAAATAAATGTGTATTCATTATTCAATATACTCGACAACTGTAATACTTCTACAGATGCATATTTTATTAGAATATTTCATTCAGTTCTTTTAATCTAATCGATCACTAGTAGTCCTTTTAATAGTAAATATGAATGACTCATTTTAATTTTTAATCATTGAATATGAATAAGTTAAAACATATTTCTATTATTATTGTTTGTATCGACGTTGAATTACTCGGAATGAAAAATAGAAAAAAATTCTGTTTATCGCTAAATAGTTAATAGAACACTTAGGTTTCATTAGTTTAATTTATTGATGAATATGTCTGTCTCTCTCTCTCATTTACATTTTTCCTCTTTAAATATTCTGAAATAGTAACAATATAAGAAACATGTTGAATCTGACTAATGAAATTTCGAATATTTATTCATCAGTTTCACATTATTTATGGATTGTTACAATTCTATATGAGATCGTTTCAAATGAACTGATTCACAGTTTGAGCTACATTGAAAGGAGTCGTTCGAATATGTTTTTTTTTTCTTCGTCTCAATTGACTTTGACTATAAGCTCATTTGAAAGGAAAGGCGATGTGATTAACAATTTTTTAAGGAAATATATCGCTATTTCATGAGCTTGAATTTGAACATGTTCAAAATAATGTCAATTAATTATTTATTCAGAATTGTTCTTCTCATATTTGAGTTAGAAAAAATAATTCTTGAAAGATTTTAATATTTGTTTAAATATTAAAATGAAATATTTTTATTCAAATAAATAGATGAAAAATAGTCATCATTGAATATATTGTTCTAAAGCACACTTTCAATATTATATCAATAAGAGAAACATTTCTTTTTTTCTTTTACTTATCGACAATTGCTCAATGAAATGTTCGGTTTCGTAGATAGTTCTCATAAAAGAAAATCGATAATTTTCCAAGTGAAATAAAATTTCTTTGAAATTTTTTCCAAATTGAAATAAAAGTTAATTAAACATACAAATAAGATAAGAAATCTAATGTAGAATGACATATAGATATAACTGTTTAATGCTTTTTCATTTTTGAATTAGACTGATTAAATTAGTTATGTTTAATGTCAATATAAAAATATATTGAATTAAACGTTTCAAAACCGACTTATATTTTAATTCTAACAATTGTCAAAATTGATTTTTGTTTATTAATATTCAATATGACAATAAAGATTTAATGTTTATTATAGATAATAGAGAAAAAAAACATGACGAACTAATGTCTAATAAAGAGTTAATATTTATAATTGAAGATATTTAACAATTTTTTGTAATTTATTTTGCATATCTTGATCATTTTGATGTTGACGTAAAAATAAAAATAAATCTTTATTTATATCTTGATGAAATGTTTCTTTAAATTGTTGTTGAAGTTGATCAATTTGATTTTTTAAAAAATAATTTTTTTGAGAAATTTCTTCAATATCTAAACGCATTTTTTGATTATCTAATCGAATTTGTTCTTGTTGAGCATCTTTTAATTTAAAACGTTCAGATAATTGATTGTAAGTTAATTTAAGGGAACGTATTTCACTTTTTTGTTTACGAAATAAATCAAGAAATGCATCTGTAAATATTGGAATTTGATTTTTTTCATTTAGTTTTTCATTTGAAGATCGTTTACGAGAACGTTTTACAGTTTTTTTTTGTGTTTTTTCATCATCTGATAATCGACGCTTTGATTCTTTTGATACCGATGAACATTTATTCGTATCGATACTTTCTTCCATTATATTTATATATATTTGATAGAATTCGATTTTTATTCGTTTATCTCAACAAAATATATAATAATAGTAATAACGATAAAAAATAATAATAATAAGATAATTTAATTTTTATTGGTTTAAATAGTTCGAATTGAAAGGAAAAGAAATATCACAAAAAAAACGACATCTATCATTTTAAATTATTGATAAAGTCAATTAACATAGAAAATAAAAGCTTTATTCAAAGAATAAATGTTGACTAATTATACGAATTATTTTAACCTTGTTTTTCTTGGTCGGATTATTTATAGAAAAAAAAAACATGTAATAAATGTTGAAAATTATTTCGTAAGATTAGTACGGTTTTGCTTTATTTTGTTATCGTATTTAATAAGTTCTGATAGATTTGTGCCAATCTCAAAAGTCTACAATGCGATTTATTTTTTAAGTTTTCATAAGGAATAAACTCAATCTAATCAGTTTGCTTGAATAAATTATGTTGAATTAAATCTATTCTTTTTTTCAGCTTTTCATTGCTTATCAAAGACTGTTGTTTTGTGATTCATATACTTTTTATTCATGTTTGAGAAAACGAAATTTCTTCTAAATAATTTATGCTGTGAGAAGATGGTCTATTACTTCAATTGGACTGATGATAATACAGCGAAGTAGATTTCGATATCTATAAAACAATCGAATTAATTCAAGTGTAACTATTCTATATTCGTAATCTGTATTGTTTAATGAACAATTATATTTGTATCATACCAGCACTTATTAAATGTAATGATAAACTAAAATTTTATCTATTCTTCTTTAACTAAACTCATCGTCACAGTAGAATAGAGTGTAGATGTAAGCACACCTACACTCTGATGAACCTATACACTGTCACATGTTTTCGTTTCGAATAATAACTTGATAGATTAGTCATTATTTGAAAGTAGGGGTGAGAAGTTATTGTTATTTTTTGTTATTAATAACAAATAACAATAACAAAAAAATAACAAATAACTTTTTTTTCTGAAAAATCTTAGTTATGCTTTGTTACTATGTAAAAGTATACCAGTTCTATTTGCTCATTATTGTCCAATTGCTCGATGATGTTACTGACCGCAATCTCCATTAGATAGCCTATGAAACTGAGAAAAATCCTAAAAAGATCTTTTCAAGTATCTTGCTCACCTATAGGTAAAATTTACTAATCGGTTTACGAGGAACGATTCCTCATTGTTCGATTGCCTTTGACTTGATGTTTTGGTCAAATAAAAGTCTTTGCGAAATGAGATTCTAGGTGCCATTTTTCGAGTTATGATCTGTACAATCTTTCTAGACATTTTCTCATCTCGCAAAGGCTTATATTTGACCAACGCATCAAGTCAAAGACAATTGAGCATTGAGGAATCGTTGCTCGTAAAGCGATCAGTAAATTTTGCCTATAGATGAGCAAGATACTTGAAAAGATCTTTTTAGGATTTTTCTCAGTTTCATAGGCTATCTAATGGAGATTGCGGTCAGTAACATCATCGAGCAATCGAACAATAATGAGCAAATAGAACTGGTATACTGTTACATAGTAACAAAGCATAACTAAGATTTTTCGGAAAAAAAAGTTATTTGTTATTTTTTTGTTATTAGTAACAAATAACTTTTTTTGTTATTGTTATTAATAACGATAACAATAAATTCACACCCCTACTTGAAAGCATGTTGAGAAATCAATCAATGATCAAAAATGAACTCTCTCGAAATGATCGAATCGAGATTACACATTGATTATCATGATATCAATGGAGAATATTTATTCAATAAAATAGAAATGTACATAATTGTTTTTTTTTAAAACAGTAGAATACTTACTGTTACTCTACAAATTCTTGATAGGTTTATCTATTAGATTCATGTTTATACAGATGACGACCATCTATTTATAATAATTTGCAATGATTGAAAACTTCTATTAACTTTTATCCAACAGATATAACTAATGAAAATTCCATGAGAAACTATTTAAGAAATACGATACATTTTATATTAATGTACAAGAGAAAAAAAATATCAATCTACACTATGTGAATATCTTTAAGTTAGTTTTTCATCACTTCTAAATATACAATTTATAGCGAATTATTTTTGACATGTTTATTTATTGAAAAAACTGATATAAGAAGAAAAGAAACAGAATAAAAACGTATGTCATTTCTAAAGAAATAAAAGTAAAAATGCGCGCTCTAAGACTGAAACTATTTTTTGGTAAATTCTTGAATAGAGAAATGTTTTCATAAAGTCCCCCTATATAAGTTGTAAAAATTTAAAAGTTTTGTACACCCCACAGTCACAACAAAATAGCAGAAAAAAAAGAACATATAATTAAATTGTTTAATTTTACAAATGAGTAAATCCTTCTACTTTTGGTCCCGGTATTCCTTGTAATGATGCAAGACTAATGAATAAAAAGAAAATATTCAAAATAGTTATTTCGTTTTTACTAAATATATTCTTACCGTGAGGAATAATAAATAAACATACCAATCGCTAATGAACTTGTTGCCAATAGAGATGCTCCTAAGCCTAAACCTAAACCTAATTTCAAACGAAAGTTCTCATTTTCCAAATCTTTTAGATAATTTGAGCTTGATAAATTCTCAGTTGAAGCTGTTGTGTTTGTTGATGCAGTTACTGCAGATGTTCTACCATCACTATTTCGATTTACAGTTGGACTTGTATAAGGATATGTGGCTGTTACATTTATCCAACAATCCCATTGCAAACATATTGGTAAACAAGTTGTCGTTGTACTTGTTGTTGTTGCTAAGAAAATATTCATATATTTAATTTAACATATTAATAATACAAATTTTCAATCAATAAAACTTAAAACTTTTTCTACACTTGTCTCTCAATATTAAATGTTCTTCAAGTATTTTAACGGTTTTCACCTATGATAATATCTATAACTATTAATCGTAGACAAATGTTTTATTTTATTTTAAATAATAGAAATTGTTTCGATTATTGTATAACTTTATTATCTTCTCCACAGTTGATTAAACTCTATAGAACGAATTAACACTATCGGAAATACTCATATGAACACATGGTACAATTGTTTTGAACTTTGCTACTATTATCTTTTCTACTGAAAAAGCTGATTTTATTGTCCATTTCAAAATAGAGCGCATTCCACTGTTTTTTCAATAATTCAAGACTGCAATCGCCTAGAGATCTGCGGTTTTCACGAATCGAAAAAGGAAATAGGGAGACCTTTTTCTTCCAATATTGTATAAGACGAAATCATTTTGAAATCAGTCATTTCTGCAAAATATCGAAAAAAAATACAGAAAAACAGTCTATCATTCAGATAAAATTTTGACAAAAACTAAGAAAATATGCTAAAAATTAATAGATATACCAGGTTTTCGTATGATTGAATAGACGATTTGATTTGTTCAACATTAATATAGGAAGATAACCATTTGAATTATATCTTGAACCATAGATCTGAAGTCTCTCTATCTAGATCCTATGTCTAAACCAAAATTTTATCCGATTCATAAAGCGTTTTCATGCAATTTTTGTATAATGTTTTGCAGAAATGACTGATTTTAAAAAGATTTCATGTTATACAATATTAGAAAAAAAGACGTCCTGTTGTTTCCTATTTCAGTTGATGAAAACTGCAAGTTTCTAGCTTTTCTATCACGTCTCTTAATCTTTCTAGTTGACTAGCATAACTATGGATTAAATTGATACAAAGTAAAAGGAAAAACAAAGCCTCATTAAAAAACAATATAGATTTCGCAATGATCAAGCATTTCCTTTTCTTTTCTTACAAGTTGTTGTTGTTGAAGTAGTGGTTGTGCTAGTGCTACTCGTTGAGGTGCTTGTCGTTGAAGTACTAGTAGTTGAGGTACTGCTTGTCGAACTGGTAGATGTTGAACTACTTGTACTTGTTGTCGAAGTTGTTGTGCTAGTTGTGGTTGATGTACTGCTGCTAGAACTACTTGTTGTTGTGCTAGTTGTGCTTGTTGTCGACGTACCAGTTGTTGAAGTAGTATCCGTTGTACTAGTAGTTGATGAAGTGCTAGTAGATGAGGTCGTGGAGGTTGAAATAGTTGTTGTAGAACTCGTACTGGAAGTTGAAGTAGTTGTTGTAGAAGTCGTGCTTGTAGAACTAGTTGATGTTGAAGTACTAGTTGTAGAACTATCTGTGGTTGTTGTAGTTGTTGTTGAAGAACTAGTAGTTGATGTACTTGTTGTGGAAGTGCTGGTTGTAGAGGTAGCTGTTGATGATGTTGTTGAGGTAGTAGTGGACGACGTAGTCGAAGTAGTAGAACTAGACGTTGATACAGTTGTTGTTGATGTGCTCGTGGTTGACGTTGATGTGCTTGTAGTTGAAGTACTTGTAGCTGATGTACTTGTACTAGTACTTGAAGAGCTTGT